ATTTAAGAACACAAACCTGGAGTTTCTCTACAAAAGGATAGAGCTGCTCTCCGAGCATCTGCTTCTGTATCTCAAGTGGTCCACGAACAGGCACGGTACTAAGTGTTTCAGATTTTCCTCTTCGGATTCCTTTCTTCATTTCTTTTCCACGACCATAGAATTTGTTGTTCTGCTGCATATGCTGTATCAAAATGTTATTTACCCCGTCCGTCTTAGACAGAGTATAAGGTAGGGGATATTTTGGTTTAAAAAAGAGGCCAAATACCTGCTGGTTCGAAAAGTCTCTTGACAAAGGAAGCATTTGAGTAGACTGATACACATTTGGCACATACGAATCAGCATTCCCATTAAGTCTTCCCCTGTTGTTCTGCTTATTCGCATTACCAACCACCTACCAGAAAACTTCCCGTCAAACATTATCAAAGTGAACATTCTTTCAATACATATAATAATCAGATAGATCTATTTACCATAGGAGGATATGTGAGTGCTTGAAAGGTGGGGTTTGATGAATTGATCAGGTTAGTAGAGTTCCACATCGGCGCTAGATTTGCTGATTGATATACCATCCCGGATTGAGGATTCGCGTAGTAGAATGGAGGGTATATCCCTGGAATGACAGAAGCTGAAGAACTGCTTCCTCCTGCTTCCGCACGCTTGCCAAACTGCACCTGTAACTGCATTTTCCTATCCTCTTTTCTTTGAGCAATTGCCACGTATAGTGGTTTTCCATGAAACATATTTCCTGCAACGCATCGAAATCATCATATGATAAGATTAACTAAGAGCTAAGTCATAAATCCATCGTGTACCAATAATATATGATCATGCAGCTTACCGTTCAAGATTTTCACAGCATTAATAGCTTCTTCGGGTGTTGAGAAACACACAAATCCAAAGCCCTTGCTTATTCCTGTCTCATCACACATTATCTTTGCAGAAGTGATTGTGCCACATTGACTGAATTGTTCTCTCAGCTCCTCCTCAGTAACACCAACAGCAATGTTTTTCACATATATGTTTGACACCTTCAATTCAGAATTAGAAACAACCAACCGTCTCAATATCTCATATCAAACTAAAAGAGGCTCTATGTTTTAAAGTGTTACCTTAGCAATCATCTTCTGTTCTGTGCTTTTCTTTTCAAATTGTTCCTTAAGCAGTAGCTCCCGTTCTGCCTTCTTCTGAGCCCTTCCAACATACAGGCGCTTTGAACCTATCCAGAGGAAACAAAGGATTAAGTAACTTGATAAGACTTAAGGAGATTTATTGTCTCAAACAAAAAAACAGATCTGTCAGACCAAATTGTGTTCCATTCAATGCTTCTGTTGCCCTTTTTGCATCCTCTGGGTTGTCGAAGTTGACAAAGGCAAATCCTTTACATAATCCGTTTTCATCCTTTGCAATTGCTAGGCTAACAATTTTCCCAAACTCCGAGAACTTCTCCCTTAGAAGATCCTCACTGACATCTGCATCCAGATTCTTCATGTACAAGTTTGTGTACTTCACTTCTGGAATCCCTCGATCAGTCTTTCTCATGAATTTTCCAACATAGCTGCGTAAAGATTTTCCCAAATATTCATGTTATAAAACCATTTATAAAACATAATGGTGGAAGTCAGATCTCTCATCCTAATCATCTTCCAAGGACACAAATCTATAAACCACTGAGAAAGAAAGTCTTACATCTCCTTGTCAGCAACAATGGTACCATTCAGATTCTCAATAGCAGCATGTGCAGCGTCTTGTTGCTCATATTGAACAAAACCATAACCCCGGCTCTTTCCATCTTCAAAAGTTGCAACCTTACAGGAAACAATGTTCCCAAATTTCTTGAACATATCTTGCAGGCCCGCATTGTTGATAGAATCAGGCAAATTCTAACAAAATAACAAGGAAACAATCAACACCAGAAACCAAACACCTTAACATCATAGATCGAGAGAATCATCCATCTCTTTGAGGT